AGCCTGTTTTGGGTAAATGATACCTGTCGGCCGATGCCTCTAACACACCCAGCCCTAAAGTCGCTCCATTCTCTTGCTGTCATAAAGTATCAAGCAGCAAGCAGCACATATGGGGAGTCGGATTAAATTTCCCGGTTGATTTTATGGGCGGACCTGTGCTAAGATTGTCAACTCTAGTGCTTTACCTCCTGTTCTGGTCTGTCTCGTTTGTTTCTTTTATCTCACTTCAGATGTGCCTCTGTGCACGCGGGCAACTGAGTGGGTGAGAAAGGTCTGAAATGGGAAATGGGAAATGGGAAATGGGAAGAGCACAGGAAGGGACCGCAGGGAATTGAGCTGATTGGGGTCGGCAAAAGTGTACAGAGTCCTGTCCCGTTCATTGCAAAAGCGTTCTCCGGCTTAATCCTCCCTCAGGATTGAGAAAAGGCAGAGGCTTGCCGAGGCCTACAATTGCATCTCGGACCATCAGATTTTAGCAGATTCCAATTATCTGTCAAAATCAGGAAAAGGAGTGGCAAGACAGCATATTTGCCCCACTGAGAATGGGCATACGGCCCAATCTGTGTGCTTGCTCATGTGCGTGTCCATGTCGGCGTTCAGGGTTTCGTTTCTGAAGGAGAGAGGCTTGACGGCCTGTAAAAAGTCGTTAGTTTGGAACTAAGGCCACACGTCAAAACACTGACGTACACACGCAAACAGACCCACGTGTACGTATGAGGCTGTGACCAGAGTGAGAGTGAGAAAGAAGGAGAGAGCAAGAGAGAAATAGAGGTGGACCGTTGGTCTGGCAGAAAACATTTATGATTTATGCATAGAGAAAACTTTGTGGGCTCGGCATCGGAGAACAATGTGACGGCCAGTTCAAATGCAGGCCGCCGCCCTGTTAAGACCCCTTCTCTTAACGTATCAGATATAATTTGACGGGGCGGGTCCAAAGTGGTGATGCTGATGAGGGGTGGCAATGGTAATGTTGATGTTGGTGCTGATGTAGCATCGTTAAGGTCAGCAGAGGAGCAAAAGAAAGAGAGAAAAGTAAGTCGCAATCTCTGGAAGGTGTAGGGCCCTTGTTTCTAGTCTCGAGTCGACATATTTCCGCCCATCACGTTTTTGCAGAGTTTCGTGAAGCTGTGCAAGACCGTCTGAGGCCAAATCAGTGACGCAAGTTATGGTGTGCACCCGGGCTTTGCCACCAATGCACAACCACACACACACACACACACACACATATAAGTAAGAGTACCATGACTAGTATGAAAGAGAATTAGCCAAATCATTTTGTATCTATCTATGTCTAAATATTTTCGCTTTTAGGTATGAATATGTAGAAGAGGCAGACATTATTATTGACACAGTGTTTGTTAACTTGAGACTTTTACAAGAATGAATTTAAGTTCTGACGATGTCCATCATATGGTGGGCAGAGGCTCAGCCGGTTTTCAGCCGAAACGAGGGACGACGTCTCGCAGACTGCGTCAACCTGAACTTTGCATTAAAGACAAACGATTGCTGTACAACAAGAGTCAGTCGTGGTCTTGTGGTGAGACCGATGTCCGAATCTCTTCAATATGCACTGTTATACGAAATGAAATGTTATCTTAAGAGATTCATCGAAACCCAGTTACTCTTAGTACCTACAGACTGTCATAATCGCAAAAAGATCGAGAATATGACTATCATGGCTGCTTTAGTGCCATCTTTGAGTGACTCGTCTGCAATCTATTGAGCGTGAGTATGCATGCAAGCAATCAGTAATCGTTGAATAAGAACTTAGTCATTGTTTGACCTTGTTTTCGCAACATGGTCATATTGGTAGGAAGACTCATTGGAACGCACCTAGTCTGGGGTACATTGTCTGCATGATCATTTCCAAAGTTGAACCGTGGACGTGGAACATTCCCAAACGTTTCGCC